GCTGCAAGCAGGGGTTTGGAAGAAGCCTTTTTTCCCCCCTCTTTTTCCACCAATTTTTTGGCAGGACAGGAACTTATTTCTTCAGGAAATGCATTTCCTGATGGAAAACAGTTAAAGTTCCATCAGTTAAAGCCCTCGATGTGTTTTTTTTCCAAGCTGGAATTTGGAGGCACACCTGAACCAGAGAAAAAAAATCTGTAACTGCGGCTGCACTTCCCAAAATGTTGGTCAACAGGGAATTCTCACGAGCCGTGAAGTAAATCCACCATCCCAGAAAAACAGGGAAACGGGAAGAGTCCCAAAGAACTTCTCTGCACCCACAGGCAAGACCTAAACACAACTGAAATGGTCGTGTGTCACTTTAAAGTCTTCAATGCTCTTTTAAGTGTCACAGCAAGGAACCACCTCGAGGAAAAAAAAAAAAAAAAGCCTTTTTAAAATGTATTTTTTCATTTAAAAGCACTCTGTAAAGATGCTTGCGTGGTACTGCCCTCCAGGGTTATCATTCCCCCCCCACTCCAAAAAAAAAAGAGAAATCAGAGTGTCAGAGAAGTTTTAAAGCACCCCAGAACCAGGGCTGTGAGAAATGCTCCGAGTCCCAGTCGGTGTTTTATCACTGTCCCAGTTCTGAGCTGATAAAAGGACCAAACCCTCAGACTAAAGGGTCAGTTGTAGAGCAGAAAAGCTGAATTTTGTGCCGAGTTTTAAGCCCCACCTCCGTGTCCCACAGCCAAGAGCCTTCAAACTGACTCTGCTGGGCAATATTGGCATTTAGGTGGTGGTTTAATGATGGGAATGAGGAGGAACGTCCAAAAATATGCCCAGGTGAGCACTGCTGGGGAGGAAAGTCAGGAAAAATAACTGTCCCCGCTTCTGCAGGTGGTTAATTATGACAGAAAATGATTATTGTTAAGATAAACCAATTCTACAGCAACTGCACTACTGTGACTAATAATGTGATAAAACTGGAAATATCTGGGTAGAAAGTAGATGACCAAACTCAACTCTGGCTGTACAACACCCAGAAAATCCACATTTCAACTACCAACCCCCCCCCACCACCACCTTCCACCAACACTGCATCTCTAGGAAAGGTGGAGGGAGAATTTAAAAAATAAACAACCAAAAAAAAATGAGACTGAGGAAGAAATATCTCCCGTATCATCCACTTCAGGACGTTTACAGTAGGATTTATTAGTCAAGATGGAACTTTATGGGATTATATGACTTAACAGCCCCAAGTAACAAGCTCAGCTGCACAGGAACACACAGAATTCCACATAAAAAGTTGTTTTAGGAAGACCAAGCCATAAAATATTAAATACAGGCTCGGAAAGAAACGCAACACCCCATCAAACATCCTATTACTTACCTCTGATTTACAAAAGGGTTTGATCCTTTTTAATTACAGGATGTATTGAATAAAAGGTACGATTGATTTTAACAGGTATTTGAGAGCGACAGAATTCCAACCACACACTCAGTTCTCCCAAAAAACCACGTGCACGCACAGCCACAAAAACAAACACATCTGTAACAACACGGAACAGCATTGCCAAGTGGCACCTTTATCCCTACTCGTGAAAAAACTGGAAGGATTTGGGGTTGCAGGGACAGGACACACCAACCTCACTGCTAAAATTTAAGTAAGGGCTGGCAGGTAAAAAGCAGCAGCGACAGGTCGAATAATGTTGATTTTCCAGCTGCCTTCTGCCCATCCCCGAGCACTCAGCTCCGAGCTCTCGGAACTTTCTTTGGCACCAGGCAAAAAAAAAAAAAAATAAAAAAAAAAGAGAAGCTGAACAACAATCCAAGTGTGGAGGTGGAAGGGGGGAAGAAAAAAAAAAATTGAAAAGTCGAGTTTATACCTGAGGAGCTTCGGCTCGTGTTTTTAAAGCGTTAAGTCTGTGTTTAAGATGGTGAATAAGCCCCCAGGAGTATGAGGGGGGGTGGACCAGGATAGGACGAAAAGGGCGAGAAACGGTTAAAAAATTATTTAAAAAAAATATTATTAAAAATAATTTAAAAATAATAATTTAAAAAATCATTTAAAACACGGTTAAAAATAGCAGAGGACCCTGAAGCCACAGACCTACCTCCCCGCAGGGCCCTGCCCAGGAAGAAGGCGGATTCCCGGCTCCCTGCCCGGGGGGGGCTCCGCCGGGCTCCCCCTGCCCCACCCCCGGCGCCGACCCCGCTCCCGCCGCCTCCCGGTGCCCCGAATATTCATCCAAACGCTGGTTTTTTGAAAGCTTTTTTTTTACCCCCGGCGCGGCCGTCCCGAGCCTCCTCCCGGCCCCGCGCCCGGCGACAAAATGGCAGCGGTGGCGCTGCCCGTCATGTCGGAGGGCGCGGGGCGGCCCCGCCGCAGCGCCGCCACATCGCCTCACGATCCCCCGCGGGCCGAGCGGCGGCGGAGCGGGGAGCGGGGCTGCCTCACGGCCCCTCACGGAGGAGGAGGAGGCGGCGAGGGAAGGCGGGGGGAGCCCAGAACATGGCGCCGCGTCCTACTTGCGGCGCTGCCCCCGCCGCCTCACGGAGCCCCCGCGCCCCCCGCGCCGCGCCGGGGATGGCGGCGGGAGCCGCGGCCGCGCCGAGCCGAGCCCTCCTCCCTCCCCCGCTTTCCCCGGCCGCCTCCTCTCCTCCTCCCTCCTGCTCGCACACGGGAGTTTTTTAAACTT